AGCATGGGAGTAACCACTTTGTCAATGCCATAACACATAAATGCAAATAAAAAAGCCCATACATAACCAACTAGGCATAATATGATTGATTAGAACGTGCTTAGCCTGAGGATGGTCCTAGACGAGCACAGTCAAGCTACCCTTAGCTCCAACGAGAACCATCCCTAAACAACCATTGTCCAAACCTTTTCAATCCCAATTATTAGTGCAAAGGGGGCTACTTATGCTCAATCGTGGAATAAGGTGGTGGCTGGGGGAGGCACTTGCCACCCCTAAATTTTAATCATACTCTTTAATCTTATATATAATACACTAAAAATTTTGCACCACAAACTTAAATACTCGTCACCGCTTCATTTTTAAGTTTGCCACCTCTCTCTTTAAGTTCAAATTCAGCCACTGTTTATGCTATGCTCTCTAAGTCACATGAGCAAAACGATGATTTCAATAACTTTCATCAATTTGAAAGAAAACAAAGCCCAAAGGAAAAACATGGATATTTAGGTTTATAATCTTTAGAGCCTATCCATATCAAATCGAACTAAATTCAAGATATTCACGCTGCCACTTCGGTGTGGAAAATGATTAAAGAAATAAAATTAACGCATCAAGTTCAGAGCTACATTCTTCTCTAAGAATGTAGCAATACTACAGTCAAGTCTAGACCCAAATAAAGGCAAAGAAAAGAAAGCTTTATTCCCTCTAGTAAGAAAATCAAAAAAAGATTTGTCATTGTCATAAAATTTGTCATTGTCATAAGATAAAATCAAAAAAAGATTTGTCATTGTCATAAAATTTTGTTTTGGTTGTGCATTTATAGGTAGGAGAATAAAGCCTATCATTTTAAAATTATTTTTTCAAAAGAAAAAAAAATCGTATATGTGTTATTTTCAAGCATATTCACTAGGTTCCAATGTCAAATGATATGATGTGGTTGTGAAATTTCCAAAGAAAAAGTGAATTTTGTTATTTATAAAAATAGCATTTAAATATCAATGAAATAATAATAAATAATTTGGAAAATACTGATATTTCACCGATATTCATGAAATTAAACAGTGTAGAATATTAATGCATTCTCTTCCAAGTAAGTTTCAGTACACAAACATGTACAAATGATTTGATACAGTTTTCTACATCATATATTACAGTATTGTGATCAACAAGACCACTGCTGCTAAATTATGATGTCACGAGTCGGAGAGTGTTCTACATATATGAACAACAAACCCATGAAAGTTTCTAATAATGAAATAAATGTGGGAGGGATTGGTAACACTTGTTTTGCCGGTCCCTACAAAGTTTTAAGCAAATTAAATCATAATTATTATTTTTATATCCTACAGGAAAAGATGAAGTTTAGACGCAATTGACATCATGTTTAAAAGATTATGATTATTGTTTCATGCATAATGAAAAATTTATATACTAAAATTAAAGAATATTGATGTTATTTAATAATTGGACTCTTCTTCTATAAAATGGTATGTGTCTATGTCATTTATACTCTGTTGCGAAATTAAAGAATATTGATGTTATTTAATAATTGGACGCTTCTTCTATAAAATGGTAAGTCATTTATACTCTGTTGCATTGCTTAGAAGATGTTCATGCCAAGATAAAACTTCACTTAAGGTGTTTTTACCGCTTATCTAATACATAAATCCACGATGGCGGCCCTACCACCTTAACATACTAAAGGATATGGTAAAATTGTTTAAACTTAACATGAGTAATAAATTCTCAGATAAAAAAAAAAGATAAAATAATCCAATTAATTAAATGCATACATAAAACTGTAAGAAAGGAACAAATTACAACTGTAGTTTTTTATTTTCAAAATTTATCCATCTTTCCATAATCATCTGTCAAAAACATGATTCCCTTTCCTGGCCCAATTATGAATGCAAATAAACCAAACAAAAATATAAGTGCGTGAAAAGTGTGAAAGCAAAAGATGGACAAAAAAATCAAATGCCACCTGTTGTTTTTAAAGCATTCAAAACCATATATGTCCAAGACTCCAATCTGCATCATTGAATCCAGATCTTGCCCAACCGATTTGTTAACATTTTCAACAAGCCTAGAAGAAAACAATACAAATAAGATTATAAGCATCTCATCAAAATATCATGAAAATGGGAAAAACAATGAAACTCGGAGATGCCAGTCAAATATCTGGGCGTATAAAGTTTTTGCTAGAGCATCTCGGCCAGCTGCAGCAGCAGAACAGTCGAGTGCTTTAACAATAATTCCATCATGAGTTTGGATTGAGCGGGTACATAGTGTTGCATGTAGAAGATCAGGATCACACCTGGCCAAAAGGATATAACAAGTGAAAACTGAACTTTGTTACTGAACAAAAAATCAGAAAAGATGAATTAGTCCATGAAATAGAGCAGGAGGAAGCTCATGTTCTTCATTCATACTATGACTCATGAGGTCACAATTTTTCAACTGCCAAATATGAGAAGGTTGCAAAGAAAGGAGATAACAGACTGAATCAAAGTACTGCCAAATTCCGATCAAACAATAAACAAGATTCCAGCAGAGTATGCAAAAACTTAAAAATAGACAAAGCAAGTCAATCAGCACACAGCTGTCTTACGTATAGCTGATTACATTATCACAACACTCTAAATTTTTTAGTCATTCCATGAAGCATCCTTCTCAATTTATATTTGTCCAATTACCTTTGAGATTATATGATTCCTTTTATTATATTTTGTTGTTTTCTATATCAGGGAATGTAATTAAGATTTGATCCATTATAATAACAAGAGAATAAATGTGAGCTCCAAAATTTCAAGCTCAGCTTTCTAAAAGAGTTGTGTTTGTTGACCTATTATTTTTTTTACATAAAAAGGGAGAATTCCAGCATATCCCCCATGTTTCCGATACTCAATCCCAAGCCCCACGTCATATTCTCCCCATTCCTACAAAAATCCCTAAGCCTTCATCAATATTCCTAAACCCAATTGCTCTCATTTCTCCCTTCCTTTCTTTACCTAAAAGCCTCACAAACAAAGAAAGGGGAGGTCACATTAGAAACTCATTGGGAAAGCCATGGACAGACCCATGGTGTGTGAAGAAGGAGAAAGCAAAGCTAGAACTTGTGAAAAGATGGCATCGATGAGACCAACAACATTAGAAGGAGAAGGGGAATTTATAATTATCTCGTACAGGCAAACACCCATGCACACATTTCTTATTATGGTAGGAATAAGACGTATATGCAAATTTCTTGTCATGGTGGAAGTAGAAGACTCGACTTGACATAAATAAGTACACATGTGACTAATCTTCGCATGACAAGGAAATCTTGTGTTTCAAATTTTCAAGCGGATAAACAGAACTATACATGCCTCCTTTGGCTTTTTGGTAGATGACCAAGCCGTCGAGCCCTACAAATGACTTAAACATGCATTACTTTTTGTAAACTACGCATAGATGCCCCCTATACAAGACAAACTCTAAAAGATACCAGAATATCTAGTAATAGGAGCTGTAACTTAAAAGAACATGAATGATTGTTTAGCCCATTAAACATGAATAAAATAACTAAAACAAAAAGGTTTTAATTAAGAGCATGTTATGTTTTTTGTTTTTTTTAATTTTTAAAAGATAAAAAATAAAGTAAAAAACATGTCTGTTCAATCTTTAATGTGGGTATAAATTATTTTATTTTTAAACAATTTCAAACCATTGTTAAAATTGCAAATAAACAAATAAAATGTGTTTTCATTATTTTTAAAACACGTCTTGCGAGCAACCCTCCCCGGTCCCAATATCACATGTCTACTACTACTTACCCTTTCTCCTCTTCACTCTTCGATCGAGTGGCGCTAACATAGTCCAAAATGGAAATGAAGAAGATGTTGGAATCGTAGCGCAAGACGGAGGAACTTGCTCCAATATTCTCGGATCGAGAAGGTGAAGGAGAAAGTTGAAGCGATCGTGAAGCTGGTCTGCATCCCCTAATCCAATTTCACTAAAATCTATCATGAAATCGTTGGCAATGGCGATGACGTTGAGGCCATTCTCGATAAATTGGACTTCTGGCTTGAGGATAAAGCAAGGCAAGTTGTGAAGATCAAAATGGAGAGAACGAAAAATACATGTGGATGAGCTCAAAAACTTTGTGATGCTCAAGCAGGTAAAGGCCGACACGTTCCAGATCGAAGCCACTAAGACGATACAGGAAGCCGAACAAGAATATGCTAGCATGTACCTGAAGTTGTGATTGGATGAAGCCAAAGCCGGGAAGTGGGATTTGTTTGAGAAAAAAAGGCCTTAGGAGAGCCAAATATCTCCGCCTGGTAAAGGTGGCGGTAGCGGAGGCAACGGCGTCAGCGACCCTGCACAAATGCCGAGTAAAATCCAGGATTTGTTGAAGATTGTATACAGTTTTTCATCGCATGCAGGCCGAGTAAAATCCAGGATTTGTTGAAGATTGTATATAGTTTTTCATCGCATGCAGGAGCACAAAACAGTTTCACGTAGTTCTACGCCTAAGTAGCCTTCTTTCAAAGGCACCAAATGTTAATTCAAAAGGATATAGTAGCAAAGCTTGAATCCCCAACCATTTGGATCAATCATAAATAACACAACGTAAAACAAAAGCCAAGCAAAATTGAATCTCGAAGGATAATTTTTGTTCTTGTAAAATTTCGTTAATGTTTGGCTACAATGAGAAGCTATAAAATCTGTGGATGACACTAAGTTTGGTTCTTCAATCTCAAAAATACAAAATACATAAAAAATATTTATATATTCATACACTTTATTTGTTTCCAAAAGGCATCAAATTTTTGTATTTAATTTTTAAAAACCAAAATTTTATATGAATACCAAATATATTTTTTATCTTTTGTTTTTAAAACACAAAATCCATAAGTGTCAAGCGTGTTTTTGTTTAATGTTAAAATAAACAAACAAAAACTAAACAAATTAAAGACAAAACTAAAATAAGAAAAAAAAACATAAAATGATCCCAAGCGCCTCTTAAAACTTCAAATTGATTTTGAATCATAGAATGAAAAAGAATACCACTCACTTTTTTTTTGTTTAATAAAGAATATTTATGAAATATCAATAAAAAAATTAGGATCGAAGCTTTTAAAACATTTAAATTTATGGAAAGTCAAAAAAAAAGTTATTTATCAGAAGTAACAAAAGATATATGAAAATTTTATGAAATTAAACCTTAGAAATAAGAGACAACAACAACAACAACAAGCCTTTATCCCCTAAGTGAGGTCGGCTACAAGAATCATTTTTCTCCATTGCATCCTATTGAGTATCGTATTTACATTTAATTCTAACATATTAAGATTATTTTCTATATAATATGCAAAAGTCTTTTTAGATCTACTTCTCACTTTCTTAACATAAGTGGAATCTAAAAAATCTATTTTCCTAACAAGAACATCAGATGGTCGACGTTCAATGTGACCAATGTGACCAAACCATCTAAGACATCTAAGACGGCTCTCTCTAATTCTATCCACCACTGGAGCTACACTAATCCTATCACGGATATATTCATTTCGCATTTTGTCTCTAAGTTTCAAGACACTCATCCAGCAAAGCAATCTCATCTCGGCAATACTTAACTTTGTTTTATGCTTCTCTTTTAAAAGCCAGCACTCTGCGCCATACAACATTGCAGGTCTCACCACCATCTTATTAAATTTTCTTTCAGTCTAAGTGGTACTTTCTATCACACAATAGGCCTGATGCATTGGCATTCCTCCAGTTCAACCAACCAACCTAAATTCTATTAATAACATCCCCATTTATATCACCATTACTTTGAATAATAGACCTGAGATATCTAAAACGATCACACCTTTCAATGATTTTATCATCCACAGTTACAGCTCTGCCGCTAGAGCTACTACAACTAAAATTACATTCCATATATTCAGTTTTAGATCTACTCACATGAAGGAAAGTTGAAATAAGAGAAATGTATTATATTTAAATGTTTAATGAATGGATGAGCAAGATGAAAATGTTAAAGCCAAATGATATCAAGTTTTTAAAAAGCCGTGGTCTAAGAAAGACATGTTAATCTATTTGAATACTTGATGTAACACGGGAGCGAAGGAGAGTCGTGCTTCTCGCAGGATAACGGAGAGTTGCTCCCGCACTCGTAATTTTTGCTCGTTTGGTGAGAAGGGTAGGATCATGGCTTCTGGCGGAGTTACAATGAGCTGCACCCGTGACTTTGCCCATCTAGACCGAACTGACCCAGACTCGGGGGGCCAACTGGCTCTTCCACATGGATTTGGTGCCTCCTGCCATAAGGGGATCCCATCCTAGTTATCAAGGGCAAACATATGTGATTTTTGCATTTGGGCTTTGAGTTTTTTTTTTTTTGCTCAGGACAGTCATCGGCATATGTTTCTCCATTTGAGGGTTCTATCTAAGGGATTGGGTGGTGCTCTGGTTGTATGTCTCGAATTGGTGATTATGTACCCCTATCCCCTCTGCATTCATCTCGGTTCACTGCCTCGTATTCCTCCTGCTGTAGGTCGCCTCGGCAGCAGTCCTTTGACTATTTCTTTGTAGTTTCCTCACAGTCCATAACATTTCCTCGTTGCCTGTGCCAAGGACTGCCTTTCTTTGGTTGTCTGGTCTCCCACCATATTCACCATCATCGTTCGAGCGCCCCATCCTTGCTGCTATCACCTCCAACCAGACGCCAACCTTGCTATCATCCTCTCACTGGCCCACACAACCCTCCCCATCGATCTTCACCCCTTCCCAGCCTTCCTCACAGCCTCCTGAATCGGTTGGCCAATTATTGGCCAGCTTGTGGATGCATTCTCGTTCCAACAGGCGATGGATGCATTCTCGTTCCAGCAGGCGATGTTTCCACTCTTCTCCCTTGCGGCCATCAGCCCAGATAGCCCTCATGCATCGTAAACCCATTGTCTATCTGTCATCCGGCCACAGAGAAATAGTTGTTTTACTGTTTTGATCTTCACCCCTTCCCAGCCTTCCTCACAGCCTCCTGAATCGGTTGGCCAGTTATTGGCCAATTATTGGCCAGCTTGTGGATGCATTCTCGTTCCAACAGGCGATGTTTCCACTCTTCTCCCTTGCGGCCATCAGCCCAGATAGCCCTCATGCATCGTAAACCCATTGTCTATCTGTCATCCGGCCACAGAGAAATAGTTGTTTTACTGTTTTGTATATGCCAACCATCTTTTCCACCCTTGCGCCACCTTCTAAACCCTCAACAACCACCGCCACCACCCCGGAATCTACCCTCGTTGAATGCCTATGTCGTGCCAGATGCTATTT